TTAAAAATTTTTCTAAGGAAAAGAATATGTGGGATACACACAAGACGAAGATCCATATCAAACATCATTTCAGTAAAAATATTGCTGATAATTACATATACTAATTTATACTTCTTTGTGCGCTAATCACAGTTGTTTAGAACCTTCTGCTTTTTTCGCTGTTGATTGAACACCTGATGTAATTGGAGGATTTTTTATCTCATCAGATTTGGAATCACTTTTAAGAATGACAGTTGATTTCTGTTTATCCTCTTCAATATTCTGATCTCCATAGGTTTTACTAGATTCTCTGGCAGCATCATCTACTAACTCCTCTTTTCCATATCCTGGTTCAGTTGTTACTGGTGTAGCTGGAACCGTAGATTTATGTGTAGCTTTTATATTCTCTTCTGTTTGAGAGGTCTTGGAATTCTTTTCCAACGATTTTTGTATTTGTTCCTCTACTTCTAATACTTCTTCTTTATCCATTAATTCTATCAATTCGTCTACTTGTTCTTTGCTTAAGTTAACATCTTCTTTACCTATTAATTCTACAACCTGTAAAAATTATATTACGTAATTAATATATCAATAAATAAATGTAATATTAATAAATAGATATAAAGTTGTATAATCATGTTTATATATAATATTTACAAAATTTTCAATATTATTATATATTATCTTATTTGTAGGATAATACTTATTGTAATTAATAAAAATTTTTAGTTTGTTTTGTACCTTTAATACATCCTCTATTTTTATTGCACCGTCTCGATCGTCATCAATTTTTCCTAAAATTTCTGCTATACGTTTTAAACGATGTTCATCGGGTACACTTTGGATTTGTTTAATGGCTGCAACCAGCTCATCTATTTTAACTAATTCTTCAACATCTTTGGCATCCTTTTTCTCATCAGGACCCAACAACTCGATTCTTTGTTTAACTTTTTTCTCGGATTGTTCGAGCTCCAACAAAACGGCATCCATTTTTGAGATCATTTTATTTACCTTTTTGAAAAGTCTATTAGCACCTTTTGATATTTTAATATTTTCTATGTCTGTTTGACCTTTTGCTTCCGCTTTAATTTGATACAATTCCTTAATATCTTCTTGATACTCTGCCATTTCTTCTTTAAGTTCCTTGATTTCTTCTTTCTCTACAGCCATAGTTTTATTATCCTAAAAATAAGATAATATAATATTAAGAATGTTGTAAATATATAAAAGAATTATTTGTGTGCATATATATTTTAATTATTTACTAACTTTGCCAATTGAATCTAGAGCTTGCTCCAAAACTTTGACATCAGTAGTGGTAATTTCATCTGTTTTAGTACTAGATTCCGGAATAGAGGGCTGTGGTTCAGCTTCTTTCTTTTCCTTCCTTTCTTCTTCAATTTTGCGCTCTTCCATTTTAATTATTTCGATATTGGTCCTATGATCCACTTTACCTTCTTTCTCTCCAATAGCACCTTTTGTACGTGCCACAACTGTATCAGGCAAGGCTGAAATAGTTGCCTTTAGCTTGTCCGACATAGGTATCGTTTCTGGTATCATAAGCGCTCGTGATAATAATAATAAAGAGGGTGGAACTTTTTTAATTAAACTTAAATCCAACCATTGTGATAATTGTTCTTTTAATCTGCTCTCTGGTAATCCATAAGCACGCATACCACGTGCTCTGCAAGCTTGTTGCAATTCAGCTCTGGTTAGGCTTTCAACTCCTTCTTTCTCGATTAGCTATTATAATCAAAAAAAGGATTTGATATTTTAATGTGTGTGTGTGAGAGAGAGAGAGAGAGAGAGAGAGAGAGAGAGAGAGAATAATTTTACATAAAGAGAATGGAGACTGTCCTTCGTGAATACATACTTTGTCATCTGCAGTAAGACTTCTGAGTCTCATCCTAAGTAGAAACTTTAAAAAATTGGTAGTTCCAAGTGTTTGCACATCTAATACACGACATAAAGCAATTAGTTGTGGTCGTGAGAGAGAATCTAGAGTAATTTCATCCTCAAAAACTTTGCTAAATTTCATAATTTCTTCGTTGGTCGCAACAGTACCACTTGTCCGTACTTTGTAGAAAAATTCTGCAAACTCTTTAGCTTTTTCAGATTTGTGATCTGATGATTGCAACGCCATTTCGTCCAATGTTTTTTGTAAAAATTTCGCCATTTCTATCTTGACCTGTTTATAAAAAAAAAGATATTTATTAAAATAATACTTAAGCTTTTACTAAAGTATGTAGGTCACTGTACTATTTTATGTGACACTCATATACATTGTATTTGTCAAATTCTGTTTATGCATATATATTTTTATTAAATTTTATGTCTTAAGCGGGGAGCACAGACTCTTGCATAACGCATAACACATGAAGCATAAGAAATTGAACCAACCAGAGTTCTCTATTACATGGAAGGGAAAGAAACGGAGAACTTCGATTGGTACATATTCTTATGCATTACGTGTTATGCGTTATGCAAGAGTCTGTGCTCCCCGCTTTAATCTTAATGAATTTGAAATCTGGTATTTTATACCTTCAAAGCCTGCTTAAGTTTATCTTCTTTTTCAACTGCTGTCTGAAAAGTAGAAGGTAGCATGCCAGGGAATAATTTAATTGCCACTGGCAATAGAAATTCCATAAATGGAACAATAATAAAAACAGAGAATGGAATCAATCTGAACATATCCCCAGTTGTTTTTACCAGCTGTCAGAAAATATGATTGATTAATATCTTAATACTAATATGTATCCTACTGATATATTAGGTGTTAAACTTAATTCCTGCCGTTTTTCATCTCCAAAATTGATAACAAATGTAATCTGCTTAACATACCAAACGATGTTCCCTTCTACTAAGTTCCTTCCCATGTAAAATTCTCCATATTAATTTTGCTGATACTTTCATATCGAGACCTAATAATCGAAATCCATGATAGTAATGCAATATCTCGCCCTTAATTTTTTGCCATATTGTAACTTTAGCGACAGCTTTTTTTGGTTGCTCAATATTTTTCATGGCAACACTGTCTACTGTCTTATTTTGAAGTTCTTTTTCTTCTTTAATATTCTTCACTGCTTCTTCAATTTTAGATGATGACTCTTGGCCATTCCAACTTGGAGTTACATAAAAGGTACGAATTTGTAGACATGTCATGCTTTTATTATTAATATACATTGGTAGCACTGTAGGCTCCAGCAATAATCTTCTTGGATCTCTCAAACGTGTATAAATTAAAGATATGCTACCAATTGTATGACTGGTATTGTACCATAATTTAAACGGGGAGTACCCTGAAAATATAGGATTAGATGTTTTTAATTTTTTTAATAATTATAAAGTATGGAGCAAAATAGTTTAGTTTATCTAATCCTAGTGTAAATTAGTACGCAGCAAAACAATTTAGCTTATTTAATCCTAGCGTAAATTAGAAATTATTTTTAACAGTAATAAATATTTTGCTTTTCCTATTAATAATTGAATAAAGAATTAAAGTAAGAATTAAATATTCCATAAACAACGAATAACAAAATTTTCCATGATTGCAAAATGGAGCAACAAAAAAAGATGATACGCTCTTAAAAAAATATAAATTTATATTGTAAAAAAAAACTGGAACATAACCTATCAGCCCACGTTTTTTTAGATTTAAACGTGACTATATCGTAATGGAATATTTGATAGGGGAATTTGGGGAAATGTTGACATTTTAAATAGGACACATTAATTTCACGGTGGGGTACGTATTACCTATCGTTACATAAATGTAACGATAATAATGATGAGGTATTTTACTTCAACAAGTATTACAAAAAAGTTATCGCATAAAATCGCGCTGATCTATAATAGGACGTGAAGTAATGCACGGTGACACATACGTCGAACAATGACTCCACCGTGACCGGCAATCATTTTGGTGTGAATTAACGTGTTCATGGCGCGTCACTCTCTCCGTGAGTATCCCGGAATGCTCTGGAACCGTCTTGTCGTCTCGCCGTAAGTATACCATGTGAATGCGCGACGAGTCACGTCCATCACACACCACCGTTCACTTTGAACATAGCGGAACCTGAGTCAAAGATCAACTGGCGCCATTGTCGCGGATTGGGCTAATATTACATTCATCTATTTTTTGTCGTACGATAAGTTCTTCAAGCCTGTTGATTGGCTGCGTTTAATTGTTTATTTAATATTTAACGATAAGAAGGATGAAAAATGATGACTTGCGAGCGTTGCGAACGTTAAATGGAACGCATCCTAAAGGTGCCGTTTCATGAGACTTCAAAAGCGTAGTCACGTGATCTCAATTTATTTATAGTGGTTTACAGCATCTGATGGTGAAAATTGGATTTATTCAAGAATGACCAAATTGCGATTAACTTAATCAACGATTAACTTACCAAATAAAAATATTTATATTTTATTAATTAATTTTAAGTAAAAAAAAAAGAATCTTAGATGCTAACATGGATAAATTAAATTTTTTTTACACAAAAAGATAGATAAAATTAAGAAATTAGGACGATAAAATATTATAATTGAAAATATTACTTTAAACAATTTAAATCAAATTTACTCGAAATTGTTACTAAGGCTGCTTTCCTTTTAAGAGACACAGTCGACACAAATCGACACAAGTGTCGTTCTATCTTTGTCACTCTCTGAATATCAAGAAGGATAGAACGACATTTGTGTCGACTTGTGTCATCAAATGGAAAGCAGCCTATATATGGACAACTTCGACCAAGAAGTTGCAAAACTTAAGTCAATCGGTGATTATCAATCACTATTATATATGATGCTACTTTTAATATATATAATAAAATACATACATGTATAACGTATCCTTCTGGGACGTCAAAATTATTTGTGCACACCTCTGCTCGGATAGCACTGGTCTAATAAATAATAATTCTGTTGGAGTAATTCATAACATTGAACTAATCGCCGATTCATTAATCGGAGTCGCCCTATGAGAATCAGATTGAATTGCTGCGCATGGAAACCGGCCATGCGAACTGATGCGAACGGCAGCGAACTGAGCGAACGTCGATAACGCCGTAACGGTCACCGGTCCGGGAACATATGGCCAATGGCTCTGCATGTGACGCCGTTTTCACCGTTCGTGTATGAAAACAATCTCGTTGACGATCGTTGGAACTCCTATGGTGCACGTATCCTCTTTGTAGGGAATACGGTGGAGAAACGACCCGCTTGACGATTGAGAGACGCTGCCGTTTATTACGTCGCGCCCACTTAGCTTATGTACGTTATATGCGTGAGTGTCGAAATTAGTATCCGAAAGGTAACTGGTTGGAAGACAAGCGATCGCTGACGAGAGGTGTTTGAAATCTGCGAAGATGAGTGACGATCAGACGAATGTGCAGAGCCCGACTACAGAGGCAAGTTGCCGAGATTTATTAATCGTACAGCGACTAATTACGAAGATAGAATTAATTTACTAAAAATGTAATGTATTGTATAAATTAGTGTATTAAGAAAACTGGGGAAACTGCAGCGGTTTTTTCGATAAGTTATCAGAACCTCATCACAGAGAGCAATAGCATTTTATTTTATTAGAAAATTGTTGTATGTTGCTTCATTTATTACAAGTGATTTGATTGTGCTGGAATTTTCTTGCACTGCACTGTTATATGTAAATATTTGGAGAGCTATATCTATTCGTAGCTTACTCATGCTAAGCATGTTAGGATTGTATAATAATAAAACAGATATATGTTGCTCACATTAATCTGAATTTTAGAAGATTTAAGAAATATATGAGTAGAAACAATCTTTATTAAAATTTTATTTACATGAAACTTTGTTCATGTACAACAGTCATACATGTATATAAATAGATTGATCCTCATTGAAGATTTTCTTATATATAGCTGTCGTCGAGCGCTATAGAAAAATTGGAAGAAGAAAAATTAAAAGCAAAGTTTCCAAATGCAGCTGGTCGGCCATTTGGTGGTCATTCTGCATTTTTGCAAAAAAGGCTAGCCAAAGGGGTAAATATCAATTCTGCTAATTATCGTATAGAGACTATAGAGTTTCAACGTTTTTACGAAAACAATCATTTATTCTTTTTAATCTTTTGATTTCTTGAAATGATTCACAATTTCAATGTTTTCAGCAAAAATATTTTGATTCTGGGGATTATCAAATGGCGAAACAAAAGTCTACAGCCAAGCCAAAGCCAGCTGGTGTTCTGCCAACAGGAGATGCTATACCAACACCAGAAACAGTACCACAGCGAAAAACATCTATTATCCAACAAAAATTCAATACATCAACATCATAAATCTGTATACTTCTCTATCACTTCTAAAAATACATATTGTTAATTAACCTTATGTTTGGATGGTGGAGTAATATGGTACATTTATAAATAATTGGAGGCTTGTATAATTTTATGCTCGAAAATATTTTGAAGATCTTTCACAAAAAATATTTTACACTATCATAAAATTCTCATGTCTTTATATATAGGAAATCAACTATTTTTTAGCCGCTTATTCTCAAAACAGGATCTGTAATATTATTGAAAACAGTGTTCTATACGTATGTGCCACAATGCTGTAAGTTTTATATATGGAATTAACCAAGTATCAGCTTTGACATATTATGTTCTTCTTAATTATTTACTATGTGGATATTCTTACGTTGAAAATTATAATTCTATCCGAGAGTTACAGTTAAAGAATTAAAAATAAAATTGCACAAGTATTTAAGATACATTGTTAGCCAGCAATAATTATGCATTCTACGTGCACATGTATAAAAATTTATATTGATAATGTGAGAGAAATAACTGAGCAGAGTAATAATAAATATATAAGAACAGGAAAACTTATTTTGATGATACATAATCATGATAATTCGAGTATAATCCACTTGTGCATGATAAGATTGAGAGTAAGAAGATATACAGATCTGCATTTCCAAAGCTGCTGTGATGCGCTCTTAGTAAGACTATTTTCTTATGAAAAGCCGTATTTACTATAAAAATATGTAGTATGAACACACACATACACACACACACACACACACAAATTTTAAACATAACTACAGTTTTGCTTATTGTAACTACATTTAGTAATATATTGCAATTATAAAATCTTTTCTGTTATTTACTTTTACCTTTCCATTACAATAATTATACGTTACTTTTCATTACAATGACATTATATAATTATAAATATTTTCAAAATTTTTTTACTTTAACATCTTGATTGACATAAAAAAAGTTTAACATAAAGTGAGAAAAATATTTTTATATTTATTGTGCGAAGAAATTTATATTTAGATAGGCTAAAAATATAAGTTTAGTTTTAGAATTATTTTCATTAAACATATATATATATATATATATATATATAAATATATATATAGGGTCATGAATTATGTTGATAGGATTAACCACACATTAGTGTATAATCTCGATGTTATTTAATAAACATAAGCGTTGGAATGGTAAGCAACAGATATATATATGAAATTGTACAAACTATAAAAATATAACGACTATAATACCCAAACTGCTCGTAAAAATTTCGCCGTCACTTTTATTTTGGTTATCACGGTCCTTTGCCGCATTTGCTCGTGCGATTTGTTGTCTTCTTTCATGTTAAGATTGTTTCTTTAAAATTCCTAATCCAAGTTTGAATTGTATGGACTGACGGCACAATATTGTGACGACGAAGATAAAAGTGATGGCGAAACTCTCCAAACAGTTCGAGCGCATTATTTTTATAATACGATTTACAGTATATTCACGTTTCACCACTCCAGTGCTTCACGTTACTAAATGGCTGTATAATCGTGTCTGCTCAATGCTACCAATACAATTCGTGACTTTTCAACTAATGTGATCTGTATTGATCACTTAATACACAAATGAATTTCATTCATGAATCTCTTGATAAGCTTTAATCTTTAGGTAACTATACATATTGTAAAAACTTTATGAATCTTAATAAGACAGTAGTATAAAATTTTATTCATACATTTTGTCTATTAAATCAGCGTATATCTTCTGAACTACATTCCTTTTAAGCTTTAAGGTGGGTCCCAATTCACCGGTTGGAATCGAAAAATCATGGGGAAGAATTTCGAATTTCTGTACTTTTTGAGCATTACTTATAGCTTGCATATTTGCTCTCTTAATTGCCTTGTCGATTTCTCCATATACCTAACAAGAAACATATTCTAATATTTAAATATCCAGATTAAATAAACAAAGACGAGTGCTGCCACTGGCCATGTCGTTTGCACTCATTAAGATTCCTGAGTAGTCACCACAATCGTATTGAATCGTCAGAAGCGTTTTGTTAGGGGGGATAAAGATAGTTATCCATTTTTACAATTGTTTTAAAACTATTTCATCATTTTGTTTTATCCAAATTGTTTTTATTTACAAATGGCACGTAACAAAAATTAACGTGTCATTTCTCGCTTCTGACATCACGATTCAATACGACTGTAGTGATTATTCAGGAGTCTTAAAGTATGTATAATAAGTTGTTTATTTGTGATATTGTTCGCATTTATTTGTTCGATTTTGATTCGTCTTAAAAAATAAATAAAAAAATTTGTTATTTATGCACAATGTTAAATAATATTAATTATATAAGTAACTTTTAAAACTTACGACTACATCACGAGAGTTTATGACTTCTGTAACTGTTTTGGCGCTACTACCAATAGACTGTGCCCATTTTAATACATCTGGCGCCAGCGTATCTAATGGCGCGCCAGTCTCTTCATTCATATTACTCTGGGAAAAAAAAACGTATTTGGATATTTATAATTTTAAATTTATATATTTTTATTTTCTCGCATTGTACCTTAAGTGTAACAAGGACTGTTAAATATTTCCTTTGATCTCCAATCACCATGGCATTACTTAAATATGATAATTCCGACAATATTGCTTGCTCTATATTGTATGATGTCACATTTTCCCCTCCACTTGTGATTACAAGTTCTTTTATTCTACCTATGAATGTAAAAAGTAAAAATTACATATATATATATTTGCTAACATAACATATGTAGGGGAGACCAGGGCGATTGTCACAGTTTTTGATTACTGATTTTTAGAAAAAAGTGGATGCCTGATTTTGAAATGTTATTATATATACATTACAATATACCTACATCCTTTAGGTATTAAAAAAATATTACTCTCATGAATTCATCATATCATAAAAATAAGTTATTTAATTTTAAATGAAGCTGCGAAAATATGACAATTAACCCCGTGTTCTAGGTTGATTGTTACACGTTTTAGGATTGCATATTTGTTATGGACAACACATATAAAAAACACAATTTTTATTTTAATATCAATTCTATATTTTGAGAAATAATAGTAATTATAGTATTAATACAAATAAAATAGTTATTTTAATCATAAAATACGTAATTTGTTTTTGTACCATAGTTTCTACATATATGAAAAATGAAAAAACATATATCTATATGAAATATAATATATTTGTAAGTATATTCTCTGAAAATGTGTCCTTTAAAGATATTAAAATTAATTGTCATCTAACCTCGTCTCATTTTGGTCAATCTACCCCACATAGCCATTTTTAATAAAAGAGATTATATTCACAAACTTAGTCAGAATAATGATTATTTAATTGTAGCAAAGATCTTCTAAGACATGTCATTTTCTATGAATACAGGGATATTACGATTAATAACGCCAAAGACTTGTCAGACAACAAAATAGGTGATTATAAAAATTTACTCATCGACTTCATTTTCTCAAAAATCGCTATAAATAATATATATGTTTGTGGTGCAAACCATTTTACACAACAAATTAATATTATATCAGCTATCTACAGTCAAAAAAAGAGATTTTTCTGCCTTGTCTTGTTTGAGTTATAAGCATTTTGACAATCAACCCCGTACAACAACCAGCCCCGGTCTCCCTTACATGCGTGATATATTACACTGCTCAACAAAAAAATCTTCTTTTCGAAAATCGAAATGGTTATTTTTTATAGTTTTTTGGATGCCGAATAGGTACACACGAATCCATTTTTTCAAATTGTTCCATCACGTTATAATCTAAAGAGAATTCCAAAAATATTACCAGTTTATTGCGGAAAAGCTTGCATGAATTAAATCTTTGATGATTTATCAAATAACTATTGTAATTATGTTTATTTAAACTTAAGAGTTTTTAGACCCTTTGAGTTGGTCAATTTTGATATCGCGGATTCGTATTCAGTAGCCTAAAAAAACCCTTAGATTTAAATAAATATAATTGAAAGCTGTTTGATAAAATTCATAGTTTTTCCGCAATAGACCTTAACTTTAATCATGAATATGTTACTAATTATAGTCAATATTAAATAATCATTTGGAGTATATTGAAAGTCCTAACACTATACTTTATTTTGCAATAAAATTTTTTAAGTAGGTCACATATTGTAATTATATTATATATTGATGTGAGAAAATACGCTAAAATAACACTTTTTGTAATCTCAATTGATCTCAAAATTGTGGCGTGATAGAGCAATTAGGATTTATAGTCCAAAAAAACTACAGAAAATAACTAATCTCGTTCTGATATCTTTTTTTGTTGAATAATGTTATTTTTAACAAGTATTACATAATGACGATTACATAATATCAATAGGCGTAAAAAATGTTTACCAGTAATAAACAAATTCCCGTTTGAATCAAATTTACCGAAATCACCAGTATGCAACCAGCCATCTTTATCTTTGGCTTCTTCGATTCGCTTTAAATAACCCATAAATATGTGTCGTCCACTCATACAAACTTCTCCCTCGCCGTGTTCATTAATATTATCTAATTTTATATATAACCCAGGTGCAGATTTTCCCACGCCAACCATGCTAACATATAAGGAATAATATATTTTATAAACATATTGTGAAGTATATTTTAAAAAAAAGTTTTAAATATTTTTATAAATTCAGTATAAATAATAAAAGCAGTATAATTTACCTATAATTTTTAAAGTCGTTTATTGTATGAGGCCCGGCACATTCAGACATTCCATACATCTCTATTAAAGGTATGTCTAAACTCAAGAAATACCTTTTAATATCGATATTTATGGGTGCTGCTCCAGTAATGCAGAGGTAGCACTTATTTAAACCCAATGCTGCCTTGACTTTGTCGAAAACGAGCCATTTTGCAAAGACATAGCCCCATTGTTTGCAATCTATACCATTTATTTTATTTGTATAATAACGAAGAGCTTGTTCTTTTGCCCATTTAGCAATCCATGTTTTTATTACACCGTTACTATACGCTTTCTCTTGCATTTTTCCATATATCTTTTCCCATACTCTGGGCACTCCTAGAAAAATAGTCGGTTGCGCCACAAGTAACGTATTTATTAACGTACCCTTTAATGCACTTTGGTCTGCAAAGTATACTGTGCTCGCTAACCTAATGTTTAGTATGACGTCAATTAGCTGGAATTAATGAAAACATTATAAACTATTTTTTTCAAATTATAATAGATATTTAGATATAATTTCAGGATTGAGAAAGTTATGTTCTACACGAAGTATCTAAAACGATAAAAATAACGATTATATTCGTTACCGTTTCTAATAATTAAAATAAAACTGCGTTATCATTACTGTTACTAAATTTATATATAGTGTGTGTATATATATATATATATATATATTATATATATAATGTAACATTGTTACCAATTCGTTACTAAAAAAAAGTGATGGTAATGCCGTTACAAGTAACATGTTACTTTCAACTCTGTGTAATTAACATATGTGAAAATTAATTTTATGTTGATTGAAATATTTTTACTTAGAAATCTGAAATAAACAAAACATAATTAAAAGATCATTTATTCTATTCTCCAAAAACAGACAAATTTCAAGTTAGAATAACTTCATCGAAAATGATCATAACCAGATGTTTAAAAAAGCATTTTACTGCTTCAAATCTCTACTTTTCAGATCGATATGTTAGAAAATAATCTTACTGATATTTTATAAAGTTACACAGACACAAATGAAAATACGTCAAATCTTAAATTTTTTACGAAGCTTAGTGCGAAATAAAAATTATACACAAATACGGTATAGCATTTGAAAGAGTAAATCTTTACCTTTACAGTATAGCATTTGAAAGAATGAATCTTTACCTTTAATTTACTTTTCTGTTGAGCATCATATACGATTCTTTCTTTCATCGAACTATTCAACATTAAAGCAAAAACGAATTCGATGAAAAAAAATCGTATCGATCCGAAAAATAGAGAGTTCAAGGTGTAAAATGCTTTTCTAAATGTTATTGTGATGATTTTTAACGAAGTTAATCTACTTTAAAATTTTCTTGGTTTTAAAGGATAGGACAAGTAATTTTATGGGTTTTTTAATTTTGTAGTATATTATCCTATTTGAAATATCTTACCTGTGCTGCAATGTGAGATAATGGCAAATAGCTGACTATAACTTCAGATTTTTCTTTCATATGTAGCACTGGTACCAATGTCCGCATGTTGAACAATACATTATCATGGTTTAACATTACAGCTTTTGGATTTCCAACTGTTCCCGACTGTAAAGATTGCAGAAAATAGTACATTAAATATTATAGTAGTCGTAATTTGATTAATTGTGATAAATTTAACGTACCGTATACACTACAATGCAACATTCGTTTACGCCTATCGTCTTTAACACATATGATAATTTATTCTCCGATTCTCTCGTACCTATGTCCAATAAATCGCTCCACTGAGAAATAATAAATGGTAATAAGTTATATGTACTAAAAAGTACATAATAAAGAGATTTTAGAGAAGTATGATAATCAATTTACGCTTAAAATATCCTTTTCGGTAGGTATGCCGTCATATTGAACAATTGCTTTCAAGTGGGGCAAATTGTGTTTTATTTGTAAGATTTTCTGCAATTGCTTTTCATCTTCAACAACTATTATATTTGCTCGACTGTGTTCAGCGCAATATTGGCATGCCTCCGGAGAATTTGTGGTATAAATCCCTATAGCGATTCCACTAAAAAAAAATGATGATCTATTTGTTTAAAAATAAGCAAAGCTTAATATCGCTTTTTAATATCGTATAGCTATATAAATAATACATGTATATTGTGATAATATGTAAATAGTATATGCATGTAAATTATTATATCGTACGTGATGCTTATTTATATAGTTGTACAAACAATCAAACTCTTTTACCCAGCGTATATAGTCGCGAGTTCGGCAATGAACCATTCCGGACTATTGAATCCTATTATGCAGACGCTATGATATCGTTCTAAACCTAACCTTAGAAACGCTTTTGCGATAATTCTTACAGTAGACTCGTATTCCCTGTAATACAAATTAACAAAATTGGGTAAATTGTATATAATTGATTGTACCACTTATCACAGTAAATGTAATTGCTGAATTCATCGAATTTTCCTGTAAATCAGATTGGAAAGAACAGAAAAAAGAATCTGAACAAAAACAATATTTATATTTATAATATATTTGTACGCAGTAAAAACTTTTGTGTTAAATTTATCACATTTCGCATGTCTCAAATGGTCCACCCAAATTTAACGAAAGATGAATATGTTAGAAAGTAACACAAATATTATGTAAAAAATTAACACAAGAAATGCTTTGACACAATTTAAAAACAAATTTTAAATTGACACATGTTAAATTGACACATTTATAATGTTAAATTTAACTGAAATTAGATGCTAGTTTTACATTTTTAGTTTAGACGATGCCTGTGATATTTAACGCAATACATATATTTAACAGATATTTACTGTTACAAGGAGAAAATAACACAAAATATCTGTATCTTTTTACATATAAAATATGTAACTAGAGTTGAACAGAACATACTTCTTCAATAAACAATATTTTTATTTTTAGACCGTATATGTGAGAAACACAATCAATACTAGAAATTTAAATGCCTTCTTCAATAAAATTAACATTTATAATATATTAAATCAATATTTTATTCATTTATTCTTAGAATTTGTGCTTTAAAACTACATTATTTTCACGTTATTTGTTTACCTATAAATTGTGTTATTTTAATACTGAGAAATGTTAAATTTAAATTTAACACAAAATATTCAAATAACACGATCACATTATGTTAAATTAAAACTTGGGTATGTTAAAAATTCAACACAAAAATTTGAATAAGGATTGGTTTCAACATAAATACAAAATGTTTTTTACTGTGCAAAAATATATGTAGAGAAATTAGTTGTGCAAGTTTTATTATATCTACATATACTAGAGGAGACTGGGATCAAAAGGAACACAGGTAAGTTCTAACACTTATATAAAAAAAACGTTATAAACAAAATACAGAACTGTACAACAGAGATAAATGTTTTGTCTCATTTTTTATATTATAAATTTCTATCTGCTCTCAACGTTTGTGTATTTTGTTTATAACATAACATTTTTAAATATAAGTGTTACAACTTATTTGTTTTACTTTCGACTCAAATTTCTCTCGTTGTAATAATACTCTACTTGTTCTAATGATAAAGGAAACAATAGCTTTGTAACTTTTTTGTACATACTGGAAAGTATACGTGGCTCTTTTGCCGTTGACATCAGGTCTAGACACCAACGCTATGTGATTAGGGTAAAGCTTTGCTGTTTTAGTCAAAGCTCCAGGGATTGACACGGGTTGGTATGAATTGGATTCATTGCTATCTAACTTTATGCGTACTCTGCCGTCGGCATTACACGTGCTATCTGCGTTCGTAAATAGTACTTGATCGGGTCCTAAAAATATTTAAATCAATATTTATATATTTCTTTTATTTAAAAAAATTAACAATATTATATTTATTTGAAAAATAACATTTTACTGTTTTTATTTAAAATATAATAATTTATGAAGAATTATTAATTGCTTGATAGGAAAGAAGAAAAAAAGGCATATTTAGTCATAAGCAGAATTTATAAGTAATTGTCTACGTAAAGCAGGATAAATGACAATAATGCACTAATATTTGTCTTGACAATTGCAACAGGAAGGAGTGAGAGGGACGGAGGAAGAGAGATGGGGGAGGGAGGGAGGGAGGGCGGGATGGCTTGAGCGAGGGGCAGAGGGAGGGGAGGGAGAAAGAAGAGGAGGAGGACCTGTGATTGATAAGTTCAATTATTGTAAAAAACTTTTTTAATATATATTGTGACAAAATTACCATCGAGGCCGGTTTCACTAAACGATGCGTATCTAGCCGATCGATTCATCTCCTGTAACAAGTTTTACATTCAATTTGTTATTTAAATATTAAAATGTTATGACATTTATTTTTTTCTACGTGATTTTAAAAATAAAGCGTAACACTGCTTATTTCATGTTTTAATAATAACCATCCAGAGATTGGACCAGGAAGAAAATATACTAATATCAGTAATTATTAAAAAAGAAAATTTAATATACAATAACTTTTTGAATACTGTATGTATCTTTTTTGCATGTCCATTATTAGCACATAAGGTTTACTGAATTGAAATCACCTAATGAATATTCCAACATAAGTCTAACAATTTATACATAAATAATTAATTTATTATAATTTTGAATATTTTTAGAATTTTTCAATTTTATACATCTATATTATCTGTAGTTTGCAACGTCGCTACAACATAATCAAGTTATTCCAGACAGGACATACTTTTAAAGGTTATCGTGAAGACCTCTGGAAGCTGTCCCTATTTCCGATATTTATCAAGAACTCGGCTTTATTTAACTTACTTTTTAACTTTAAAAAATTTTTTTTTACTGTGCGGTTAAAGATATATTAGTATAATGAATAATAAATTATTTAGTATTAATAGTAACCGATTTGTTCTCAATAGAAACGTATCTGTCTCATAAAATTTGTAAAATGTGAAAATGAATACGTAAAAGTAAAGCATGATAGATTATTTTGGATTTTACACTAATCGAACTTTCTTTGTTAATAATCTGAAAAAAGGTGAATAAGATTATTAATCAGGTAAAGGTAGTACAAATATTCGAATATTGTTGAAACTAGGATTATAAAAAATCAACTACTTTCTCAATCATTTTAAGATATAAAAATTGTATTTACTAAATTGCTATAAAAATCAACAGTGTTACGTTAAGAATAAAATTAAAAAAATTAATATTTTAATTTCACTAACTTTAACTATAACGGAACATATTTCGAATGTAGTGGTTAGCCAATCACACCCACCAAATAAACCCACATAAACTTTAAGTGATTCGGTTAATTGTGTAAATGCTTATAATTAAAACGTTATTAAAGCGTCTACATTTTGGTATGATTTTCATCTCGAAATACGATCTCAGGAATCTATCCTTGTGTATTATCACGGTCTTTATGCAATATTCTGTACATGTAATGTATAAATAAAAGAGTATAGTAATAGAATTGGAACTTAGACGTACAAAAAAGATACGTACAATAATTGAGATGGGTAAATACTTTTGAGTAATAGTGTAGAAATCCTTTCTTCAACCTCGAAGAACTCGTTTACTTCTCGCTATTCTCTGGTAACTACTCAGGCTTCTTTGACAGCTTCCACTATTTCAATGATTGTGTGCGATGCTATCGTTGTTTGTCTCGAAACTCGGTTTACTATTTAGTACACGATTATCTTTTTTTGTTTACACTTTTTCGGTCTATTCTTAACTTGTGATATTATTGCAGTAGTTTAATTGCGTTAGATAAAGTCCGGAAAAATTTCAGCGCTCAGTTCGAATAACTACAAAAATATGATATATGTATATGCATGTATATATATAGGATATAGATAATTCACTGGGAATTATTTAGGCAAAAAAGATTTAGCTTTGACCATCATAGACCTGAATACGCTTATACTTACTGTTTAATTCTTGTCGGTCTGAATAAAAAAATCATATTATTTTTAATTGTGATGATGTAATATGAACACGCCATATGTTTAATTGATATGTGCAATGTACATTTTTGGACATTTTTTATGATATCTTTGCAGAAACTATAGCAATTACTTCTATAATAAGTTTATACTTATTTTAGACCCGTATTTAGAACGCGCTAACATATTATATTTTACGTTACGCATATTATAGAATTTCAGAAATGAAAGTGCATTTTTAGCGATAAAACGACATACGTTCTGAATATACGGGCCATAAGGTCTGTAATCTCTGTTTTCTTTTCCCCCTCTCCCTTCGCCCTCAATAGCGGGAATCTTATAGAAAAGTAGGTCAGTATCAGATTACTTCTTATTGTGAACATCAATCACATAACTTTTTCTTTAAGATCGCAGCACAGACTTTTGCATAACGTATAGTGCATAAGAAAATCAACCAATCAAAGTTCCTCTTTTTCGTGAAATAGAAGAAAAGGAAAGATTCTGATTGGTTGATCCTCTTGTTATGATATACAATTACATATCGTAACAAGTATAATTGCATAATATTTGTATAAGCCAATTTTTAAAAGTTTGTGATACATTTTTTCTAAATAAATGTTTAAATATATAACGTTATTAATTTTTTGGAGTTCTGATATGCAGATTTTCTCTCTCTGTATTCGATTTTGTTCGTATAAACAAAATCAACTTACACTTACGTGTAATTTAAGCAGAGAAAAATCATAATATATTATCAAGTATATAATTGAAATACGTATATCATAAAAAATTAAACTTAATAATAAAAAGCCTAAAGAATTAAGCTATAGTTATTGAAGAAGCGATAAACCGATGTATATTTGTACATATATAAAGAGGTTTCCAAAATTATAAATAGCGACTAAACATATTACAGCAAGAAATAAAAAATTTAAATCAAAAAGTTAATTGTAGTTTTTTATTTTAAGCAATAGTTTCTGAGATATAAGGATTTAAATGGCCCATTACAAATTACGTTTAGATGGTCACCTGTGAAAACACGCTGAAATGCGCGCTTACCAGCCTTAGGATTACACGCGATGCTCGACTTTTTGAACTAAAGGCACGTGTGTATGATGCTATGTTTGCTTTGATGCATGCCGTCTGACGTTTGACAGATAACTACGAAATTAGTACAATTGTTTCTGTGCTGAAGATGCTGTCAATCGCAGTCAATCGCCTGTCCGATCACGTGACAGTTTTTAATCTTTTGATTGGAGGAAACATGCTATGAAGTAATACATAAATGCAGAAGTCATGCATATCTACATGCCGCGCTTAATATATGAACGTTATATTCTAGCATACATCAAAGCAGGCATGTATATAATAAAAAAAAATCGAGCATCGTGTATTTTTAGCTTTATATTACCTCATGCGCGACTCATGAAGAAATAACTATCTAAACGTAGACTGTAACTAGCCATATTTGAACTTTTATTCTCTCAAAAATTACTATTTATAAGTTACTATTTATATTATTATTATTAAAATTATGATTATTACTACTATAATGTTAGTAATAATAATTATACAAGGTGTTTCTTAAATAGCGGACACTAATTATATAGTGCTAATCCTGGTCTAAAATTGAGTTGAAATGTCCTGAGCCATTTTTTTCTACAGTGCTGTATGAAGCAATTATTATGGAGTAAATTAAATCAAGGATTTTTAGAGTATACGCATTAATATGTGTTCGTGAGATAGAGTTTATGCCGAGAAAGACCAAAACTTTCGAAATTAAAATATTTTTTATCATTTCTTATTGTTAGTGTGATATAGCGTCTCAAGCTATCAAGTCGTGGCAACATTTGTTCGATACGAAAGTTTTGCAATCTGTACTTACGAAATAGTAATCCATAAACACGTAGTTTGCACGAACAAATAACGTCGAGTTCTTAGAATTAGTCTTAGACGCTTTATCGCGACGAATTTGTTCTACGAAAATTGACACGAACATACGACTGCGTGTATCATAGGTGCGTGAAATATATTGGTGTCGAAGTATTAAGAAGTATATGGGTGCGTTTCAAGTTACGCATAAAGCGCACGACGTATCGTTTTAACCTTCTTTATTATTTGGTGAACAACAAGGACAAATGATGCTTCATGCGCTTTATGCGAAACTCGGAATGCACCCTTCAAAGACATGTCGATACGCTGGAAAAACAGCGACTTCTGGTGACTTCTTCGGAGTTTGAGCTTCGCTTTAAGATCGCCTTAATTACTTTAAATGTGTTTTATATATTAAACTGAGATTAAATTATTTGATTATAGTTTATTTGATATCATTATTTATTCGACTCTTAAGATGGAATCACATGATGCTCGATTTCTTGAATGATAGCATGCATAGAGTCATGCCTGCCTCTGATGTATGCTAGAATTCGTTCATGCATTGAGCGCTGCATGAACAATATACATAACTTTTATATTTATTATGGATTACTTCGTAGCTTATTTCCTTGCATGCATTAATCAAAAGAAATAATTGCTAATTTCATAGTTTTATGTAAACGTTAAACTGTATGTATTAAATCAAACATAGCAGCATGCATGCGTGCATGCTTACTATTCAAGAAATTGAATATGTGTGATTCCATCTTTATTGTTCTGTTAATCTAACAACTCGATCATAAACTATAAAATAAAAAATTCCACAAAAAATAGATAAAACGGGGTCTCACATTACAATTTTTTGTTTCATATACCTATATATAATATATACAGGGTGTTTGGCGACTACCGCATTTTTTGTCATACGTGGGTAGAACAGCCTGTACTGAATCAAAAAGTCCTGTACCATTTTGAGGTGTCAGCAATAGTTAACAAGATATTAATTACTAAGAATTGCAAAATATTGGTCTTGAATAATTTTTTACTCAAATACTATCAACTTTACAGAAAAACTGC